AAGACAATTTGGTACTGGCACAAGAACAGACCCATAGACCAATGGAACAGAACTAGAGTGCCCAGATATAAACCCAAGCATATATGGTCAATTAATATATAATAAAAGAACCATGGATATACAATGGGGAAATGACAGCTTCTTCAATAACTGGTGTTGGCAAAACTGGACAGCTACATGCACGAAAATGAAACTGGATTATTGTCTAACCCCATACACAAAAGTAAACTCAAAATGGATCAAAAACCTGAATGTAAGTCATGAAACCATAAAACTCTTAGAAGAAAACATAGGCAAAAATCTCTTGAGTATAAACATGAGCAACTTTTTCCCGAACGCATCTCCTCAGGCAAGGGAAACAAAATCAAAAATGAACAAATCGTACTACATCAGGCTAAAAAGCTTCTGTACAGCAAAAGACACCATCAACAGAACAAAAAGGCATCCTACAGTATGAGAGAATATATTTGTAAATGACATATCCAACAAAGGTTTAACATCCAAAATATATAAAGAACTCACATGCCTCAACATCCAAAAGGCAAATAACTCTATTGAAAAATGTGCTGAGGATATGAACAGACAATTCTCCAAAGAAGAAATTCAGATGGTCAACAGGTACATTAGAAGATGCTCCACATCGCTAATCATCAGGGAAATGCAAATTAAAACCACAATGAGATATCACCTCACACCAGTTAGGATGGTCAAAATAGAAAAGACTAGGAACAACAAATGCTGGCGAGGATGCAGAGAAAGGGATTCCTCCTACACTGCTGGTGGGAATGTAAACTAGTTCAACCATTGTGGAAAGCAATAAGGAAGTTCCTCAGAAAACTAAAAATAGAAATACCATTTGACCCAGGAATTCCACTCCTAGGAATTTACCCTAAGAATGCAGGAGCCCAGTTTGAAAAAGACAGATGCACCCCTATGGTTATTGCAGCCCTATTTACAATAGCCAAGAAATGGAAGCAACCTAAGTGTCCATCAGTAGATGAATGGATAAAGATTATGTGCAACATACACACAATGGAATACTATTCAGCCATAAGAAAGAAACAAATCCTACCATTTGCAACAACATGGATGGAGCTAGAGGATATTATAATCAGTGAAATAAGCCAGGCAGAGAAAGACAAGTACTAAATGATTTCCCTCATTTGTAGAGTATAACAACGAAGCAAAACTGAAGGAACAAAACAGCAGCAGACTCACAGAACCCAAAAATGGACTAATAGTTACCAAAGGGAAAGGGACTGGGGAGGGTAGGTGAGAAGGGAGAGATAAGGGGATTAAGGGGCATTATGATTAGCACACATAATATAGGGAGGGCACAAGGAAGGAAGTATAGCACAGAGAAGACAAGTAGTGACTCTATAGCATCTTACTATGCTAATGGACAGTGACACCATCAGCCTTATGGTTTAAATAACTTAGTATTATTTACCACACAGAATGAAAATTTTAACAACTGCTACAATCTTAAAAATATATACTGACTGAATGACCCCAAATTTACTGCTTCCTTTATTGCATGTAGTGGTTTCCTATTTCAACAAAGACAGTTCCACTTTAACCTAAATTTTCTTGTGGGGTCCACTGAAGTCTCTAGTTTCTTCTGATGCCTAACCACAGGTTTGGGAATTCTCTGACAGAGAGAGTTTTCTCCAAGTTTTCCATGTAAGAGTAACTTAAAGGAAAGTTTACTCTCTTCAGAGACTATTTCCTCTCACTCCCAAATCCTGTGGCAGCTATGGGCGTAGCAGCAAAAAAAACCCTGTACAGCCAATAGTGGATATTAATTAGTTGGGTTTTGCCGCCTCTTAACTGCTGCAGGCAAGACTTTTCTTTCTTCTTTTTTTGCATAAGCTCCTTCCCCCATTATTACTTTACCTACAGCATTCATACACAGATGTGAAACTTCTTTTCTGACCCAGATTCTGGCTTTGAGTGTTAAGTCTTTCCATACTCTCTATTTCTTCATATTTCACCAGGAGGCTTATAAACCTATCTGAAATGTAGAAATCCATTTGGCTTTCAATTTCTCATTCTGCTGTGTGCTGCTGAAAAGTAGTACATAATGAGAAGTGACAGCAGCAATCGGGCCTGCTGTCTGGCTGGGAGTAGATAAGTTCACCTAAAAAGGATTTGATTCTCCAAATGCCAAAAACTAGAAAGAGGGTTGGAGGGGAGCAAGGAAGATCTGGAAATATGCCCATGGGTAGTAATGAAGAAAGTGAATTCAGCCTGAGGGTGGGACCTTCTGCCCAGCCACTGTCAGCTTGATGCCTCATTATCTTCTCCATCTTCTCTAACCTCAGGACATTCAATTAGGGAGCAGGTAGAAAAAGCAACTAAGAAAGCAAGGCAATACAAAAAAAGTTAGGAACTAAGGGGAGGAGGGAGTTAAAATATTTATGTAGACCAGGTTCATTGGCTGGGATGTGAGGGTTTGGATGGACAGATACAAACCTGTAACTCTATGTACTAAACACACAAACTTAACGTGTCATCTCACCTTCAATTGTTCCCCATCACCCACTCAATCTCAGGCAACCTTTTTTCTACTCTCCTATTCTTCCTCCATGCACCCTACTCTTTAATCATCCTGAATTACTTTCTATTCTCCAAATATGCCACACTCTCAAGCCTCCAAGCCTTTGAACATGCTGGTCCTCTGCTTGGTATGTCCCTCCACCATAACTCCACAGAGAAAACTACTGTTTGTTCTTTACTCGGGTCAAATGCAACCTTCTCTGATGTCTTCTCTGATGCCCCAGTCAGCATGAGTCACCCTACACAAATCTTTCCTTTGTCACTTATCAGAGTAATAGTTAAGCATACAGCCTCTGGGGTCAAAGAGACTTGAATCTGAAGCATGGTGATGCAACTTACTAGGTAGGTATGCAACTTACAAGGTATGTGGTAGTCAGTCTGCATCTGAGATGGCCTCCACTGAATGAACCTCCTAGCATTCACAACCTTGGGTAGTCCCTTTCCACCTTGTATGAGGGTTGGTGTGTGTGACCAATGGAAATGGTATGTCATTTGACAACAGGTTATAAAAGTCACCATGGCTTCCATCCTGAACACTCACTCTTCTCTTTCTTTCTTGGATTACTTGCTTTGGGGGAAGCCAGCTGTCATGTCAAGCAACCCTATGAAGAGACCCATGTGGCAAGGAACTGAGATTTGCCAACAACCATTTAAGTGAGCTTCTCCAGCCCCAGTACAGCCTCAGATGCCTGCAGTCCCAGCTAACACTGTAACTGCAGTATTGTGAGAAACCCTATGTCAAAATTACTCAGCTAAGTTGTTCCTAGATTTCTGAGCCACAGAAACCATGAAATAATAAATATGTTTTACACCACTCGGTTTTGGGGTTTGTTACACAGCAATAACTAACACACCTAAGAAAAGATGGCAATAGTGTGTGGGGTCACAGGGAAGACAGTGTAGCTCACAAAAGACAAATAGGGACTCTGTGGCATCTTACTACACTGATGGACAGTGATTGCAATGGGGTTTGGTGGGGGGTGGACACGATAATAAGGGTGAATGTAATAATCACATTGTTTTTCTTGTGAAACCTTCATAAGAGTGTATATCAATGATACCTTAATAAAAAATAAATAAATAAATAAATAAAATTTAAAAAGAGAGGAGACAGCAATAGCCTAAGTTTCACATGAAGAAAATCTAGGTTCAAGTCCGGGCAATGGTACTTACTAACAGGAACTCTGGACAAAGCATTTGATCTCTGCAGCCTCAGTTTCCTTACTTGGAAAATGAGAAAACTGAAAGTATAACAATATACTACAAAATAAACAGCACACCCTAAAACCTAGAGCATAAGATTATCAAGCTAGAAATAAAGTCTATATGTAGCAAAACAAATCTGATCCCTAAAGTACTGAGGTTCAGAGATCCCATCTAAAACAAGCAGGAAACTCTTAGGTGTTATAAGAAAAGCAGTGTTTCCATGGTCTTTGAGTTGATATAAAGGAGCAAGCTTACTCCTAAACACCCAAAAGATATAAAAAATTGCAATCTGCAATCTACATACCTAAACGTAAAATCTGTATCATTATTTCATACCTAGGAAACCAAAACTACATAGCTTCCAACAGTCTAAAAGCTGGAGGTCTGTGCTATCCAGAGTAACATCCTTCCTATCTCCCCAGATCCCAGGCCTGGCACTGGAATGTGGTACCCTGAGCTTGCTGTGTACCAACCTGCTCTCTTGCTCAAAAAATGGAGGTACTAATTCTGTTTTCAGACTCAGTTCAGATGCTTTTTAAGGAATAAAGATAATACACATATTTGGGATCACACTAATGTGGCACAGCTGTTGTTGGACATTAAAGGTAAGGAAAATACAGAAACAACAAAGGGAGACCTTATGAAAATATGATGGTTTTCAGTTGCTTATAGATGTATTGGTTGATAAACAATCAGATCTCCTCAGGAGGCAGGAATCATCCAGTGAGGCTATATATATATATACATACATACATACATAGATATATATATATATAAAATCTGCCTAGCTAAGCAGAGTTTTGACTAGGCTCTTAGGACAATGTGGACTAAGAATGGACCAGAAGCTGTATCTCTCTGGCCTTTCTCTACCTTCTAACTACTGGGGACAACTTTTATGCCAAAATCTAGGGATAACTAACTGGTCTGCTGATATTCCCTATCCTTTAATTACAACAGCCACCCATGATCACTGCTTCACTGCATCAGCCCTACTCTTCATGCAGTGTGCCTAATGGTGTTAATGAAGGTATGTGTGGAATCCAAATTGTGGTTTGTGCTTTTTCCTTCTTCTGGAAAGATGTATAATTCCAGGCCATAACAGGCTCCCTGACACCTCTCCACATATAAATGTGTTTTTCCTAGAGTATACATAGGAATTATGTGACTATATAAATTTTGTTTCCTATCATTCAATTCTATAAAATAGATTTGCACACATTAACCATGGTACTTACACATAGAGATCCATAGGAAACTCCTTCATCATGTGTGTTACAATAAACTCTACCATCAGGTCTGAGTAGAGAAAGGAGAAAAGTTAGATCAACCAGAATGAAATTCATTCATATTCATTGCCTTTGAGCTGGGAAAAAGCCTTCTGAGTACACTGCACTCATGCTGAATAACATCCACTAATCACATCTTTACTCACATGCACTTAAATTTATTTTATATAGGGTACTTTTTGCAATACTTTTCACCACCTGCCACTTGTAAAGTAACAAGAAAATTAGTTCACTCGCCCACTTCCAGGAGAATACCTTGACCTGCCAACAAATTCAGATACAAGGAAGATTTCATTATACAGACATTTCATACCATGGCACTAATGCACAATACCAGAGGGAAGTCAAACTCTGAGAACTGAGTGATGAGGCAAGCAGAGAAGAAATTGTGGATCACATCCATGTAACCAGAGACTCAGCAATAAAGCTATGTCAGTATATCTCATCTCACTATTATAATCAATTTAACAGATATTGACTGAAATAGTCTATGGGGCTTTGGGTCAATAGAGGTTTATTAAAGAGACTTAATTACTATTTCTAAAATCAAGTAGATTTAGGAATGAATGCTTAATAGCCAAGTGAAATGGGATTAAGAGTTCAGATCATTCCCCTGAGGAAAATGTAGAATTCTGGATAGACAAAATTACTTAAGATATAGCCCCCTATCTGTCAGCACTGTCAGCTTCATCTCAATTTAATTTACTCAGATGAAATTTTACATGTCCGAACCTTGAACTTCAAGCCTCCTGGCCAGCTGACACATCAATTTGGACCAGGAAAGGGAAGGAAGAATTAGAAATCTTGGTCAGGAGTAACATATTTTACAAATTTAAAGCATGTATCAAGTTTAGACTTAACAATTTGTCTCCCTGGAAAGATCTTTTTCTTTGAACAAGAGCACCCTTTAATTAAGCATTCTATTCATGGATTGCTTTACCAAACTCAACAATAAACATAGTTTCTTAGGCCAGGGAAGAAACATAACTAGTAACTCCTTCTCTGAGAAAGAAGCACATCAACCAGAATCTATCCCTCATCTTAATCATGAAAACCTGTCACTGGCTCACAAAAATCCCAAGTTTGATGACACTCACCCAGTACTGCACATACTAAAGGACGGCAGGGAAGATTCTTGTCTGCTGCCTTCTTCCTGTGTCTCATAGGCTTCACACAAAAAAGAAATGAAATTAGTAGACATCTGAACTGATGTCCAAGAGCTCATCATCATGTCTTTCACGGAAATAAAATCCCTACTACAGAGATGTTACCTTTTCTTTCTCTTTTATCTAGTGGTGGTGGTGGGTGGGGGGTGCCAGGAGAGCTTATAAATGTTTCTCGGTTATCAATGCAGACCTGGGACAAAAACAATTCACAGCCCCAAAATGCACTGGAGGATACTACAATGGGAAAGCTGTTGTTTTTACTTTGATTTTATCTATACAAGTCACATTACTAACAAAGAAAATTGGTATTTTCCTTTGATAAAATGCTAATTAAGAAAAGAAGGTGACTGTACAGGCAGAGCAACAGTAGCATCTGCCAAAAACAAAAGGAAGCTTCAAATGCAAACCTCAATGTGATATATATACATATATTTTTTTGGTATCATTAATATACACTTACATGAGCAACACTGTGATTACTAGATTCCCCCCATTGTCAAGTCCCCACCACATATCCCATTACAGTCACTGCCCATCAGCATAGTAAGATGCTGTAGAGTCACTACTTGTTTTCTCTGTGCTATACTGCCTTCCCGTGCACACCCCCTGCATTATGTGTGCTAATCATGATGCCCCCTTTTCCCCTTATCCCTCCCTTCCCACCCATCCTCCCCAGTCCCTCTCCCTTTGGTAACTGTTAGTCCATTCTTGGGTTCTGTGAGTCTGCTGCTGTTTTGTTACTTCAGTTTTTGCTTTGTTCTTATACTCCACAGATGAGTGAAATCATTTGATACTTGTCTTTCACTGAGCATAATACCCTCTAGCTCCATCCATGTCAATGTGATATATATATATTTTTTTATTTTATTTTGGTATCATTAATCTACAATTACATGAAGGACATTATGTTTACTAGGCTCCCCCCTTCACTAA